CCAGTATCCCCCCAATTCCCCAACCCCCTCCTGGTGGCAATCGCCAGTCTACTGTCTGCTTCCCTGAGTTTGACTAGTCTCCATTCCTCACGTACGTGAGATCACGCAGTATTCATCGTTCTGGTGTCTGGTGTATTTTACTGAGCATAGTGCTCTCCAGGTTCACCCATGTCGTTTCCAATGGCAGGACTTCCTTCTTGCCTATGCCTGCAATTCCACTGTGTGTGTGTGTCTATATAATCCCACATTTTTTCTATGCATTCATCTGTTCACGGACATTTACTTCCATATCTTGGCTGTTGTGACAAAAGGTAAGTGTCGGTGAGGATGTGGAGAAAAGGGGACCCTCGTGCACTCTTGGTGGGGATGCAAAGTGGTGCAGCCGCTGTGGAAAACAGATGGAGGTTCCTCAAGAGACTGTGATCCTGCAATTCCAGTTCTGGGTACATATCCAAAGGAAATGAGGTCAGAATCTTGAAGAGACATCTGTGGCCCATGTTCATGGCAGTGCTATTCTAAGACACGGAGACTCTAGCCAAGGCATGGGAGGTTTGGCACGTCTCAGGCCCGCTCACATGCGGATTTGGAGCTAGTTGTCCCTTTGCCTTCACCTGGGGAGCCCCGGGAAACCATCCTTGGGACATTGCCTTTCTCCTTCAAGAGTACATCTGTTGACTCTTGGGAACATAAAAGAATGTGCTCAGTGTCCCAGTTTTTCTTAAGCCTGTGGTTCAGAGTTGTCTTTCTGAATTTCTAAATCCAGCCCACCTGTGGCCCTCTTCCAACGTTATACAGGCAAGACAGCACTCTCTCTTGCACCAGAGGTGAAATTGTATTGAGGAACTGTGCAAATTCAGACTTTGGTGTTGAACAAAGCTTTGTATCTGCGCTCTAGCTCACTAGATCAGTGACCTTCAGCACGTAATTTTGCTCAGCCCCCTCAGGTGTATGTATAGATAGCCTCCATCTATAAATTGGACAGTAAAGGTAGCACCACTGTGGGGTAGGTGTAATGATTTAATGAGATGAAATGCATATCCTCGGCCATCATATTTTTCTTCTATAGATGGGGAGTCATGGTAGTGCCCTTGTGAGGGAGATGTAAGGATTTAGTTAATGAAATGCACATCATAGTCCATATCACATCATATGTGATCAGTTAAATTTAGCCATTAGAAACAGCACATATAGGGCACCTGGGTGGCTCAGTCAATTAAGCGAATGACTTCGGCTCAGGTCGTGGTCTCAGGGTCGTGGAATCGAGCTCCGTGTCGGGCTCCCCACTCAGCCTGGAGTCTGCTTGTCCCTCTCCCTCTGCCGCTCTCCACCACTTTCTCTCTTTCTCAAATAAATAAAATCTTTAAAACATTTTTAAAAAACAGTACATATAAAACCCCGTGAAGTAATCCATATCATTTTCCCTGATGTCATCTAGAGAATGCAAGTATTTAATCAACTGGGGAACCATCTCTGTGTATTTAGTATGGTTTTTACTTTGGAATCAGTATAGATTGACAGAATTACAAATATTAAAGATAGTTTCTGCTTTCCCTGTACCCAGCTTCCTCCAGCATTAACCTTCTGCATAACCACTGTTATCTGTCAAGAAATTAACATTGGAACATCACCTTTAACTGAACTATATATTTTCCACTAATGTGCTCTTTCGTTTCAGGATCCAATCTGCAACGCCACATTGCACCTAGATGATACATTTTAAAGGATTCTTTTTCATTATTGTGGTATTTTGGTCTACCTTCTTCTTTATTTCTTTTATGTTAACCAGTGGGGCAATAAATATATACTGTAGCCATTAATTAAACAAGATCTTTATGTTATGTAGCAAACTTCCTTTGTTGTTCTTAAATTAAGTGAAGTTCTACGAACTTGATCTAGTAGAAGGACAGTCATCTGCGTATTCTATCAGCTTGATCCCAAAGAAGGATAAACATCTGAAAATTATATGAGGTTTATCTAGGATAGTCTTGTATGTATTGATCTCGTTGAAGAATAAACACATGAAAGTTCTCTGAGCTTAATCCCATAGATGGAAAAACAAATGAAAATCCTATGAGGTTCATCAAGAAGGATAGCAGGTACATATTCTGTGAGTTTGAACTTGAAGAAGAGTAAGAGTTAAGTCTATGAGTTTGATCTAGTAGAATAGATTTTTTTTTTAAATTCCATGAGTTTAATCTAGTAGAATAATAGGTGAAAATTTTATGAGGCTTATGTGGTAAAAGGAAGGCATGTGCATATCCTGTGAGCTAAATCTTACAGAAGGAAAAACAGATGAAAAATCTGTGAGTTTGATCCAGTAGGACAAGCAGCTGAAAATACTACAAGGTTCATCTAGTAGAAGTATTCGCATGTGCATAATCTGTGAGATTGATCTCGAAGAATAAACAGATGGAAGTCTATGGGCTTGATCTAGTAGGTGGATAAGCAAGTTTAAATTCTGTAAGCTTGATCTAGTAGAAGGATACATAGATGAAAGTCTATGAGCTTGGTCTAGTAGAAGGATAAGCAAATTTAAATTCTGTGAGTGTGGATAAGCAGGTGAAAATCCCATTATCTTGATCTGGTAAAAAGGGTAAACAGGTGCACATTCTGAGTTTGATTGAGTAGAAGGATAAGCAGGTGAAATGCCGTGAGCCTCATCTACTATACGAATAAGCAGGTGAAAGTTCTATGTAGTTGATGTCACAGAAGGATAATCAGACTAATTCACAGGTTGTGATTCCTCCTGTAGCTCAGTCAGCTGTTGACAACTTGAATAAATTATGGCAAAGTGTTTGAACTTCCCTATTCTTTGATGTGGTATCTGTGATGCAAGAGTAACAGTATTTGTCAGATAATTACCTTAAGATCATGTTGAAAAGATTTAGTGCGATACTTTTAACTTCTCGTGGAGGCCGTTCTAGAAACTGCAGACTATAATATGAATTTATGTGTGAATTTTCCCTGATGTCTGTGCATACAAAACATTTAGTGCCTGAAGTTTTAAGATCTTGTTTATAAGAGTTCAGGCTGTAATCGTGAGCTACAGTTCATTCTGCAATGGTCAGAAATCAGTGTACCATCATCAAAAATCAGCATGACAAAGTGAAGCTTTGCTTCAAGATCCCTTGAACCTCTGTCTCCGGCAGTCCATTTTTTAAGTTTCGATGGCATTTGCATCCTTTGTTAAGCATGCCTCGTATTCATGCTTTCTCTCCTTGCTATGTATCTGCGTTGTCCTTCAACTTTCTTCATCTCACTCTTTATTTCATTCTTTTTTCTAAAGTCTGAAAAGGTATTTTCAAGGAGTTGAACATCCATTCTCTCCCTTGTTTCCAGCCTGACATCCCATGGTTATTATTCCTGTGGTGTTCAGCTGTGCTTAGTGCATTTTAAAGCTGTGGGGAAGGACTTTCTGGGAAACCGTCTGGTTTTACCTCTGTCTGTGTGCTTCCTGCATGTTCTAGACACTGGATGTGGCATTTGCGATAATTCTACCTAATACTCAACCAATACTCATCTACTAGATGAAGTATCTACTAGTAGAATACTAGTAGATCTAGTATTCTACTAGATGAACCGGATGTGTTGGGGATGTGAGGCACGGATGCTGGCGTTTTCTTTTCCTATGGCTGCCCTGAAAATGATCGCAAATTCGGTCGCTTGGAACAACACAGATTGATTAGTTTATAGTTCCAGAGTGCAGGTGTCCAAAATGGGTCCACCTGCGCTAAAATCAAGGTGTTGACAGAGCTGTGTGCCTCTGTAAAGGCTCCGGGGGAGAAGGTGTTTCTGTGCCTTTTCCAGCATCTAGAGGCACCTGTATTCCTTGGTGTGGGGCACCTTCCTCCAGTTTCAGGGCCCGCTGCATAGCATCAGCCAGCCTCTCTCTCTGCCCTGATTCTGAGTCTCCTGCTTCCCTCCTCCCCTTATAAGGACCCTTGTGATCACACTGGACCCACTCAGATAATCCAGGGTCATATTCCAGATTATGGTTCCCCTGTAAGATATACCGTATACCTGCTTCCCTCCTCCCCTTATAAGGACCCTTGTGATCATGCTGGACCCACTCAGATAACCCAGGGTCATATTCCAGATTATCCTGGGGATATGGTTCCCCTGTAAGATATACTCTATACCTGCTTCCCTCCTCCCCTTATAAGGACCCTTGTGATCATGCTGGACCCACTCAGATAACCCAGGGTCATATTCCAGATTATCCTGGGGATATGGTTCCCCTGTAAGATATACTCTATACCTGCTTCCCTCCTCCCCTTATAAGGACCCTTGTGATCATGCTGGACCCACTCAGATAACCCAGGGTCATATTCCAGATTATCCTGGGGATATGGTTCCCCTGTAAGATATACTCTATAACTGCTTCCCTCCTCCCCTTATAAGGACCCTTGTGATCACACTGGACCCATTCAGATAATCCAGGGTCATATTCCAGATTATCCTGGGGATATGGTTCCCCTGTAAGATATACCATATACCTGCTTCCCTCCTCCCCTTTTAAGGACCCTTGTGATCACACTGGACCCACTCAGATAATCCACAATCCTAAGCATTTTGGCCATGAAAGGTACCACATCCCCAGGTTTTGAGGATGTAGACATGGGCATTTTGGGGTACTATTGGTTTGCCCATGACCACTGGCAAAAGTAGAAATAGAATTTCAACTTTGTGACTCCATAGTCATTGACTTGAGTCCTTTCTTACTCTGAGAGTTGAGTTTCCCCGATGACAGTCATAGCTCGTGACCACTAGGCGATGCTGGCCTGTGCTGTGCATAGTAGGGACCATGTCGTATTTTTTTTCACCACCATGTATGCTGTATTGCTCACAAAATTTTTATTGAATCCATGTAATTAGAGCACTTGGCTCTTCCAAATCACCCACCCCATGCTGAACATTTGGAAGAGTATACTGAAATGAGCCTTAAAGCAAGCTTTGAAAAGACATACGTCTCCCTGTTGCCTCTTTTTTTGGTCTTCCAGGGGGGAAAGCAAACAACTGGGAAGGAGGTATCCGGATTCCGGGCATTCTTCGGTGGCCAGGGGTGATAAAGGCTGGGCTAGAGATTGACGAGCCAACGAGCAACATGGACATATTTCCTACGGTGGTCAACCTCGCAGGATCTCCACTGCCCAAGGACAGGTACTGTGACTCAGACGCAGTTGGTATTGTGTCATTCAGATCTCACAGGGGCAAGTGTGTTCTGGTTTGCCTGCATGACGTCATTGTTATCTCCAGATGGACTTGTTATCCACGTCCAGTTAGGGGGCTCACTGATGGGGCTGCCGACGCAGAAAAGCCGTCAATCCCGTTCTCCCAGTGGGAAATGAGCGGCAAGGTGCGGTGTCTGTGTTGGCTCTCACGAGTCTTCGACTTTCAACGTCCTACTGATCCTGTCTGTCCCGGCTGTGCCTTCCACGGGCCTGTCACAGGGCAGGTGGGCAGCCACCTCTTTGACCCACCATGTTTGGCTCCCCTGCCTTTGCTTGGGGTCCCACTCAGCTGCTCTTTGCTGCGGCAGCAAGAAAGGCAGCTGGTTCTCCCGTCAACGGCCCTCCCTCCCAGTGTGTCTTCATTTAGCAAGTTCTAAATGAAACGTCTTTCTCTTGAATTTAAATACAACTTCATATGACATTGCCAATGGTTTCTTCTTAAGCGTTATTACCAACCTGAAGAGTTTTTAGTGAACCATGCAGACTAATTGTTTTCATTAGTTTGGTGGCAGGCCAGGCTAATGTCATGCAGGCGGGGCTGCACATCTTGTTTCAGTTCAGCTGCCAGCAGAATGAAGAGGAAACAGGAAACAGAGAGGAGAGCGCAGCTCAGCCAGCACTGAGTCCGGGATAGGTTTGCTCATTTCCCATTGCTTTTAAGCTCGTTTTATCGTTTATTGTTTCCTTATTGTTTTGAAGTTTGTTCTGTAGTTGTATCTCCCCCCACCCCCAGCACACACACACACGCACATGCTAGAGACTAGGCAACATTGGACAGCTCAGCCCTTCACAAACCTTGCAGTCTCAACACCCATGTACTTCTTCTGTCATTGAGGAACCCAAAGACCTTTTGTATATGTGGCTTATGTCTGTCAACATTTATCGTAGGAGACCTTAAACCTGAAAAAATTCTGAACACACACGAGTGCCCAAGTGCACCTTGCATCCGCGGACAGTGATGATGTCATCACCCGCCGTGAATCCACTGGAGGAATGCACTGTGCGCTCCTGCAGGAGCCGTAGCTCAGAAGGCAGAGAGCATTTGGTATTCTCGTGAAAACAGTATTGGCCGTGTGGGCCGTGTGGAAGGGTCTTGGGGGTCCCTGTGGGTCTCTGGGCCACACTCTAAGAGCGTCTGCTACTGTGCCTAAGAGCAGGGATCCTGCTTGGGTTCTGATCTTGGCTTCCCCGCTGGGTCTGTGTTTCACTTCGTGGGCCTTGATTCCTCATCTGGAACGTGGCTTCGGTCAGGGCACTGACCTTGCAGGCTTCCTGGAAAGACTGAGAGCAGGAGAGCATGTAAGTGCATGAATGGTGGCCATTGTCGGGTTTCCTGCCACATTGAGAGGGAAGAAGTACATCAGCGCAGTTCTTTCTTCTTCCACGGTCAACGTTCATCCGGGATCATAGAATCCTAAAGGGGGAGGGCTGAAGGGCACTTTTAGGATTTACTCTGGTCAAACTAGTCCTTTGCTACCTCAGTGACAGACGGAAAACATGACAGCAGGAGGTCATAGAAAGTGTTACCTTATATGAAGCCAGGAATCTCACGCTCTGTCTCATCTACTCATGGGCCCTTGTTCTTAGCCTTGGAGTAACACTTAGTGTCTCCTTAAGTAGTGCAGACAAAGTGTTCAGGCCATTTCATTAATGACCTTTTTTTCTCATGGCTCATAATCTTAAAATCAGCGCTGCCTTTGCCTTCACAGTATCTTTAAATGGGCTTTGATGCAATCGGGGAAAGACAAGGGAAGGGAAAGGTCAGAGGCAAAGAGGAAAATCTGCTGAGGGAAATCTTGTGGCTCCGGCCTCCTGCCCACGGCAGTCTGAGGCTCATGGAGGTCAGTCTGTTTTCATTGTATGTGCCCACTGAAGAAAAAAGCGGCCTCCCTCTTCGGCAGGTCCAAAATATTTCATGTGGGAGCCAAGACATTGGTAAGAACCGCCTTTGCAATATAGAAGATGCTTTTCATGGATCTCATTGATGTGTGTTGATCCAGCTCAATGCAACGATGCTATCTCTGGGTGGAGCTCTAAGGCCCCAGAGAATGCTACCGTCATCCTGGAGACCGCACAGAGAAGGAAACAGAACTGCGTTGGCCACATCCTTCATGGAAATAAAATTAGTCACAAAATGTCTGATTTAAATCGTGTTACCAACCAGGTCCAGAAAACATCCTCATATACCTGCCCTTGAGACTGGGAACATCTAACTTGGTGATTCTCACTGGGGTGACTCTTTCTCCCAGGGCCCATGGACCATGTCTTTGAGATATTTTTGATTGTCTTAACTCAGTGTTACTGGCATCCCAATGCCAGGGATGCTGCTTAATATCCTACAAAGATCAAGACAGCTTCCCACAACAAAAGATAATTCAGCCAAATATATTAGTAGTGCTGGGGTTGACAGATTCTGCTCTCAGGCTCACTGTTGCTCTTTTATGGAAAATATTGTTATGGTGTATTAACATCATCAAAACTTTTCAATGAAAGCATCCGGACAACATCCCCATATGTATATCCATCTACAAATGATTCACAATATCTATTCTTCACAAGATAACCTTAACTCTCCCCCACAAAGATTGGTGGAGGTCAGCTTCCCTGATTTCTTGCATTAGCAGTATTAAATTTACATTTCTCAGGAGAATAAACTCATTTGAAGGGTCGAACCCCAAGCTGTCTGACGAGGACTTAATGAGGTGCCCTCACATCTTTCTGTGTGTTTTGTGGGATCAGGAGGATTTCTATTCAAAAGACCGCTAGCCTTCAGGTACAACCTTGTCATTCTTAAGAACCATTTTGAGTCTGGTGGGTGGCCTTCCTGACCAATCAGAGCTCGGTGGGAGATGAGAAGCCCTTCCATGCAGGGTTTCTACTTCAGTCAAGAGAGCAGGGCTCCGGGGATACACATAAGAGATACTCGTTCAGCAGAGTCTCAGTGCTACTGGGAGAATAATTCTTTCATTCGACCCCGTGCTGAGCCCGCATGAGATTCCTCTCTGCCGTGAATTTTTCCTTCACACATAACTTCACTGATCCATTTGCATTCAGCGGCACAGTTTATCAAAAGAATTTTGGTGGCCATTATCTCCGGCGTGTTCAGAAAAAATTGTTCCCCCTGTGTCTCCAAATGAGCTGATTCTGGAAATAAAGGGAGGGCAACCCTTTTTTGTGTGTGTGATATTAAACATAAGCAACATGGATGTACATAAGAAGAATGTATAATGAAATGTATTAATTCCCAAAAATGAAAAACCTTACCATCAGTCACATCTTTGCAAGCAGATAGAATATTGTCAGAGGAAGCCTATGACGATGCTCCTCGTCCACAGATGTTGGTGATGAAGAATTGCACCACGCCCTAATTGGTTAAACCTTTGGAAACCATCCATATTCTGGCCAGAGATGATTCGGCTGGGCGGGAAGAAAAGGGGGGTGCCAACATCCTTGAGAATCACATTTTAAAGAAGGTGAAATACTTAGGTCTCCTCTCCCATAAAGAAAATAAAATTAAAATGTGATTTTTTTTTTCAAGTTAAGAAAGGAAATCAGTGCTTGAATGCTTGATACCAGTTTTGTGTAATGAAGACAAGGGGAGTGACTTCATTCTCCTGTTTAATTTTGCTGCCCGATAGCTCTAGAGGAGTATTTCAGTAGAGTCCTACAGATAAAGCTAATTCCTCTGCATTTTGCAGAATAAAAGGTGAAACTCTTCATGTATGCACCACCACTTACGACTGACCTTACTTTATGTTCAAGTTAGGCAGTGAGTTTAATATGTACGAAGGGAGGTGTTTTTTAGGTTATAACTTTCTGGTCACTTGGGGTTTCCTTTATGAAGATATCTTTCTGTTTTCTTGGGATTTTCCTTACTTTATGAAAGATAAACTTTCTACATTGAAGAAATCACTTTATTTTGAATATTGCACAGGTAGCATTGTGCCCCAAATTAACCTCTTTGTCAGTCCCCCAAAACTGTCTCTTCTCTGTCCCCTCACCCCCAAAGCTTTCTCTATTCATATGATCCCCAAATCCTTCTGAGAGCCGGCCAGGCAGAGGCAAGGACATTCGGGCAGACGATTCACTGGTTCGGAGCTAAGAGAGAGGCCAGCACATTCACGGGGGAATGAGGGTCACTGTAGCCCGGGCACGTTCCCAAAACATGCTCTCTGCAATGATGTGAAGGTCATCCCCACGGTATTTAATTTGACCTGACATTCTGAAATGCACAGTGCTTGGAAATGAATGCTTGAAATCATGACCGTGTCGTGGGACAGGAGCCCATGGGGAATATTCCTACCTCACTCTCCAAATTCAACACCACGTCCGAGGAATGTGGAATTTGGCTTCATGTCACTTTGAGAGAACCTCGGCCCCGGTGCCCCAGGCTGTGACGTTATGGGAACATTTCCATACGGGCAACGTCAGGGGTCATGTGCTGTCTTCGGATTATGGCCACGGCTAACTGTGACTCACACATGCGATTTAAAACAATCCCAAGTGTTTTGATGGCTTAGACACCATTTAAAAGTTGAGCTCAAGTAGGGTCCCTTTCCATTTTTCATGGCAGAAACGAGCCCCTTTTGACAGGTCATATTTCTGTAGCTCTCTTCAATGGTGGCTCTCCATGGCCGTGTGATTTACTGCCCGCTTCTAAGAATATGAGCACATTAGGTGTAAGATATTAAAAAAAAAAAAAAAATGAGCTCTAGGTCTACATCTAAAGCACAAGGAAATAGAGGTAGAGATTGTGTCCTGGGAATGAAGATGGGTTCTCCATCTTGAATGGTCCTCGAAAGGCCTGCTCTCCACATGAGATAGAGGTCCCGGGGTGGGGGGGGGGGGCGCGTTTTGCATCCCTCTGTCCCCTCCTCTGGGTCATTTTTCACCGCTTGGGGCTTTTCCTCTTCAGATACTTACACCTTCTCACTCTAGTGCACCACTTTCTTTCTTTCCACCCTATTCAGGATTGCATATTAGTACGGACTGAGTCTTTCTCGAAAGGGATTTGAAAGGACCAAAGCACAATGACTGCCATTTCGGGATAGAAAGAGTATTTCAGAGAGCATAGCGTTTCTCAATAGAAGCGTCTCTCTACCTTGCTTCCTCCTCCTCCTGTCATGGCGAACGGAAGCGGGGGCTTGGGAAGGGGGCCAAGTCTGCCTTTTGTTCTTATTTTTAGCTCACAATAGTAGGATATTTTCAGTCTGTAGGCTTCTGTGGAGCTCGAGATTAATAACAAGGGTGGGGGCCGGAGAAGTGCTAAGCAACAGGGCTGTAATTATAGGATGGGGGTTTTAGGGACACCAAAATAAAGCACACACAAAGCTTGAGGGACGTGGGGCCTCTCAAGAATGCTAACCCAAATTATATAGCCAACTCTGCCTTCCAGTTTCTAAATTCCTCATAATAAGAGATGATAGGGATGGCGTGTTTTTAATGAGAGGAAGATAATCCTCAGGTGAGACCATCTGACTCCTTCAAAGTTGCTCTGTGTCCCTAGTTTTAATGATGGGGCCTGATGGTATCTATGGCTTCCGTTGGTCTAGTGGCTCTTAATGTACATTTTTCCTTTCTTTAAATGCCTAATAATCTGCTTTTGCTCATAACCAATTGGATATTATCAAATGTTTGCAGTCTGGAAGTTCCCTTTGGTCTACTTACACATGCAGGCCTGGAAGAGATATTTGCATCTGGGAACAATGCATCCAGAGGGTTTTTAGTATCATTGTCATTAGTATTTATTCACAAATTAGTTCATTCTGATTTAGATATGTGCTTCCACGGACGTCTATCCAATCCAAGTTGTGGCCATGCTCTGTATTACCTCTTTGTCACCTAAATTGTTAGATGTTCTTATTTTCCATAGAGCTATGTACTTTGTGAGTGAAGCTTCCTCTGTGCCAAGGCAATAGGCAGAAGTTGGGTTTAGGATGAGCAGCAGGGAGAGCAGTAGAGAGCACCGATACCCAATAATCAGCTGGGTTTGCATCCCATGAGCTGGTCCCAGTCCCATGACCTCGGGTAAGTCATGTACGCTTTCTGACTGATGTCTCCTCAACTCATCACCACGGGATGATAATGGTCCCAATTCATGGTGCAGGATTAAATGAGTTCATGCAAGAGCAGAACTGGCTTCATGAAGTTGCATATGGTGCCCGACGGGTCAGTGAGTGTTCTTTGTGTTGGTTGCTGGATTATAACTAGGTGACTCTCTCATGCTCTCATTTGCTGGAAGGACAGGTCAAAGGTTGGGGCGATTTAGCCCAAAGACGATGTGACCATTCCCCAGCTGATGCCTGTCTAACATTTGTCCTACAGAATCATCGATGGACGGGACCTCATGCCTCTGCTTCAAGGGAAGACCCAACTCTCCGATCATGAGTTTCTCTTCCATTACTGCAACTTCTACTTAAACGCTGTGCGCTGGAGCCCTCGGAATAGTGAGTAAAACAGACCTTTCCGTGATTCTAGTATGTCCGCCACTGGGGCCGTGCAAGGAGATGAGATGGCAAGAGTGCTTTGCTCTGTAAAGGCTGGGGGATGCGTCCGCATGTCACGGTGCTTCGCTTCGAGCTCCTCCTCCTGTGACTTGTCTTGTTCCTTCCGGTCTTGCCACAGTCCAGGCACGACATCAGCGGACCCTGGCCCTGACTTGCGAGTGGCTCTTCCTCCTAGGCAGAGGAAGCCCCAGGTTGCAGCTGGGGCACGGTGGTCCCCATCCTTCATGGCCTGCTGGCTGGCTGCCCAGCTTCAAGCCCGTAGCACAAGTCCCTTCTCGCTGTGACTTGGAGCCAAACCAACGTTCCTCTTTAGGGGGCACACGACTTGTGTTTGTGCATCCTCTGCCTGGAAGGACTTTCCTTCTCTTGCCTTTTGGGGAATGCTTAGCAGCTTAGCAGCGCCTGCCGTCCAGTGCCCCCCTGAAACACCACCCCGGTGCCCTCTCTCTAGCGCTTTGTGCCCTCCTGGAGCTTTGTGCTGTCAAGCAGAATGGCATTTAGATGTTTCTGTGCTTTCTCTCCAAAGCCTCAGCCATGGCGGGGCCTGGGCCAGATTCAGACCTTTCACGTTCAGTTCAAATGCCTCGAGGTCCTCGTACATCCCAGACTGGGTGTTCTTTGCACCATGCACTCTACCCGAATCAGGATGGCGTTTGGGTCTTCTGATACCAGTTTGGGGTTGTATCTGTCCCAGGCATAAAGGAGCAAATGCAACCGAGCGGTAATCCTCGGTGCGGGGATAGGCTTTAGATTTTTTTTTTTTCCCCGTGTCTTTAAACTTAGAATCGTAGTGATGTTCAGATCGTGAAGAGACGTGGGAGTGTGTGGAAAACAGTTCCTGCCAGGCTTGTACCTGCGGCAGGTAGATGTCGAGGAGGGACTTCCCGTTTCATCTTCGGAGGTGGAAGAAAACTCCCCTTTTTCTGTGTTGTGCTTTGGGTCCTGCTTCGGGAGGCTATACTCTGCCGGACCTCCCACCTGAGGGCTCACTGTTGAACTCGGGATGATGTTCATGCTGGTTTTCCACACCTCCCACTTCCCACCCTGCACACCCAGCCAGTTCGCCAAGGGCTTGTTTCAAGAGCAGCCTCACGATTCTGTTTAAAGTGGAAAATCACAACCCTTCCATTAGCCACAGAAATCGCAGTAGGTTTACCCTTCAGAGTTTCTACTTTAAACCCGGGTGGCTTCCTTGCAATGTTTTCCAGAAGATAAATATGAGAGAAGCATGAGTTTAAGGTTCTAGACCAGGAAGCGTTCTTTATACTGATCTCATCAGTGTGTCTGTAATTCCAAACATCCGTAGGGAACGGTTTCTTGTTCAGAATAATCGACACAGTCGGGTGTGAGTCTTCCAGTGAATGGGAGGTGTCCTCCTTCCCGCTTGTGTTTACACGGAGCCGTAAATGCACAGAATGAAGTTTCTGTGACTCTTGGCTGATTAAAGAAATGCGATAGCATGTCCAGAACCTCATGGAACCGCATTTCTGTAAAGCCAGCACTCCCCCGCCACCCCCCCTGACCCCCAGTCGGAAAAGCCGAAGGAACATATTGGATCAGGGGCTGGAGAAACACACTCTGTGGAGGAGGAAAGACAAAAGGGACAGAGAGAGACAGAAAATAAGAGTACGTGAGAAAAACAAGACCCAGATTGTGACAGGCAGCTGGGCTAAAATTTGCTTCTCAGACACACCCAAGTAACATTTCCTCCTGTGCAATTCTTGAACATCTGCTGCCTTGAACCGGCAACAGGAAAGGAGACAGGGCGGTATTTCAGTGCTGGAGGCATCCATCCAGCTAAGAGGTCATGACACACCATGGTTTTTATGACCCATCTCTTACTTGGCTTTGATGTTATATCTGAAACTCAGTAACGGCGTTTGTCCACGATCTCCCATGGCTTTGGGAGTGTCTATCCAGTACTGCATCTATTTATTTATTCTACAAATATTTTTGAGCACCTGCTATGGGGCACCTTCCATGCTCGGATGAGTGTCTGTCAGTGAGCAAAACAGACCAAATGCCCTGCCGGGCGGCTGGTTACAGCCTAGATAGACCATGATGCACGGCCGGCGGGGTCAAATGCTAGGAATGCAGAGGTGCGTGGGGGAAGTGGACTCTCGTCCGTATGGACTTGGGTAGTACTAGTTGGGTAGGTCGGCTGAGATCATCGCAGATCTACTTTGGGAGGAGATTGCCAGTGATCGCTCTACTAGGTGCTGGGACACTGTCCATAAGTCTTAAAGATAAGAGGGTTGCACCTGAGTTCACAATATGTTATTAGAAAAGAAAACAGGGGAGGAAAAGGAGAGAAAAGAAAACAGGGGCACCTAGGTGGCTCAGTTGGTTAAGCGTCTGCCTTTGGCTCAGGTTGTGATCCCAGAGTCCTGGGATCGAGTCCTGCCTCAGGCTCTCTGCTCAGCGGGGAATCTGCTTCTCCCTCTAGTCTCCCCCCCCCCCCCCCCGCTCATGCTCTCTCTCTTGCTCTCTCTCTCAAATACATAAATAAAATCTTAAGAAAAGAAAATATAGGATCAGGATTTAGTCGCAGGTAGGGGTGCTTGGTCGAGAATCTTCCCCGTGTGCCGTTAAACCATGGCTAACTTCAAGTCAGTCCATGCTGGGCATATTTACCCCACGGGATTCAGCAGACACAGCAAATCCGGGCTTTGTTCCTCCCTCAGAAAGAGCTGGCTTAGCAGCAGGTCACTGGTGCTGGTACGTTAGACCTGACCACAAATGTTAAGGTCCAGTTACCATTTGTCCTGATTAGTTGGAGGCCGGAGTGTTCCGGACTTATTAAATACTTATTTTCCAAACACATGGAGCTACAATTCTGTTTCCACCCTTTTGAAACATGAATCCCTTTTAACTGCTATATACAATGTCTTCTCTATAATTTAATAAATCTGTAATTATAATAATTTTATAATTTAGTTGTCTCAGCAAGTTGAATGACATAATTTAATCATGAGTGAGTATCATTACTCCCATTACATTGTGAAAAGAACTTACAAACACATTATTAGAACATGCGTAAGTTTTCCTGCATTAAAATGGGAATTTTGAGTTAAAACGGAGTGTTCGATGTGCATTATAAGTCTAGGGTTTAAGTTTGGGCATATGAATCAGTGCTATTAAAAATTCAGCGTAATGACAAATTGGTTTTATGGATAAAATTTATCTTAGAAAGCAGGTACCTACTTGGCTCTAGGATTCTGTTACCGATTTTCAAGCTTTTTTTTGTTTGTTTTTTTTGTTTTTTTTTTAAAGATTTTATTTATTTATTTGACAGAGACAGAGACAGTGAGAGCAGGAACACAAGCAGGGGGAGTGGGAGAGGGAGAAGCAGGCTTCCTGCTGAGCTGGGAGCCCGATGTGGGACTCGATCCCAGGACCCTGGGATCATGACCTGAGCCGAAGGCAGTCGCTTAACCAACTGAGCCACCCAGGCGCCCCGATTTTTAAGCTTTTGACTATAGCATATAAAATAAATGTTCATGTGAATGTGTGAAAGCCCCCAGCAGAGCTGGTCACACAAAAATCCACGGGATGTGGTTATCCTATTGCTGAACCCACAGGGCCTCACAAATCCAGCTATGTTTTCAGTTCAAGTTTTCTGGAAACTTTTATCTGTGACTAAAAAAAATAAAATCAGAACAGAATGCTGTAGGATAATAGAATTCCTTCTCAAGAAATGTGTTCATATCCAACTTTTTAAAAGGTGCCTACTTTCCAAAGTAGGGGATGAGGAAGGTTTATTCTTTCTCGATTATGTAATCTTGTTTATTATTAGAATTTCTGTAATGAATATGCAGATTTCTTTAACTCCTTTTTGTTTCCCATACCTATGCAAGAGATAAGTAAGGTTTAAAATCAAGACAGCATGACCGTGGTTAAGGAAAGAAAAATGCTCGCTTTGTGGACCATCTAAATTTTCCACACAGTTAACAAATTAATTTTGCCTCTGAACTACACCTAAGAAGAGAGAATATCCTACTTACAGCTGCTTATGCCTTCATGGGTTGACGGTTAACCAGGATAGCAGGGCTGTGCTTGGCTTTCGTCTTCGTGACTCATTCCGCCGGAAGCCTTTCCCTGTCTGATCGTCAGTCAGACTTGGGATCTAAAGGGTCAGAAATAAAATATCAAGGGCCGACACCATGGTGACATGGGCTGTGGCATTTTGCAGCGAGGGCCTGCTAAGGATGTGCTCGTCCTTCAGCTAACCTTGAGAAGGACGGCTCTTGCCCTCTGCTGTGACGCGTGTGGCAGGTGGATAGACCGCAGCCACTGGAGGGATATACGTTAGGTCTCAGGCTTTCCTTTTGGTGTGTGAATCCCTGCACCAAAAGCCGCAGCCCGTGAGCTCAGCCTTTGCAGGCATTCACGCACGCATTGCTGTATGTGCCTTCTGAGCCCGGTGGAAGGGACAGCACGCCTACGCACACTTGTGGCCGTATGGGCCCGATGGTGTCCCACGACACAGCGGGATCCACTGTGGCAATCCGGGGAGAGCAAGGGATGTACGAGGATGGAGGAGGCTTCCCTGAAACTGTGAGACTTCTATTTCATTTATTTTATCTCATTAGCGCTCAGGCTCTCAGGAACGAGCTGCACTTCCCGGCTGTTCATTTCCTTTAATGGGGAAAAAAAAAAAAAAAACCTCATAAATGGATTTTTCGTTTTCTTCAATGTAGTCCATTAAACATATATTTTCTTATGACATTTTGTATTCTCTTATATTAGACAGTATTAGGCAGTTTTTAAAATAGACATCCAGGGGCGCCTGGCTGGCTCAGTCCGTGAAGCACCTGACTCTTGATCTCGGGGTCGTGAGTTCAAGCCCCACGCTGGGTGTAGCGATGACTTAAAAATAAAATCTTTAAAAGAGACATCCATTTTTCTACTAAAGCTTTCATATGCCTGACCTAAGATTT